ATGTATATGTATATATATATATATATATATATATAATCAGTTATTTCACTTATATGGCAAATAATCTGTAATTATATATTTTTTTAAAATGAAATAACTCAAATTAAACCTAAGAAACTGTTCATTGTAGAAGAAAATTCTAGATTAATGATTACAGTATTTTTATACATTTACTTCAGGAAAAAAAATTATAATAATACTGTTTTGTCATTTGTTTTATCATTGTTTATTTTTGGATAATTGGATTAACATTAACATATTTTGCTTAGAATACAATATGCTGTGAAATACTATACCATAGAATATTATAGCAAATAGTATCTTATTTGATGAGAAGTAGGTCCATGTACATATGTTTTTACAACAGTTGTAAAATGCTAGAACAGTTCGAAAATGCAACTGGAAAGTGCTTAAAGTCCTTTAATTTGACTATGGAAATGGTGTAAGACCGTCTGTTGAAATGAGAGGTTACAGTATAGGACAGATTCAACTCATTATCATAAATGTGTTGTGAAGTTCTTGTGAGATATAAAGTTCATTATTAACAAGGTGGTTAAATTTTCCACTAGTCAGATTGTTTTTTCATCAGCGGCTAGCTGAACAGTCACAATGATTACTTAAGTAAAAGTCCTTTACTCTAACATGAATGTTGATCATATGCAGTGCTCAGCTGCTTTATACGCACACCCCTCACATATCTCTCTTTTAAAATTAATATTTTTAATAGGACACTATACAATATTATATTTGTGCATATTTGAGCAAGTCAAAACCAAAGCAAAATCTGGAGCTTATCTAACAAAATAACCTACGATAATGGTCCAAAAACTAGTGCATCCAAATTTATATGTTATAGAAAAATATTAAATACAAATTAAAAAAAGAGAAGACTTTATTTTTTTATTTAGTTGAAATTTTTTAGGTTGTAATTTATTTTTGCAATATTTTGCTTGAATTTAATTGTAGTATCCTTACATTTTTAAATATGTTTGGTGACTAAAATATTATTTTAATAAATGTTTCTGTTAAATAAATCAGTTTTGTTTAAATGCACCATAATACAGCCTATATTCAATGAGAAATGGATACAAATATTCATTTTCAAAATAGGGGATATTCAAATATGCTGAGCGCTGTACAATCACGGGCACAGCTGTACAGACATTTAGTGTAGAACACTCAGTTGATTACAATGTGAGAGATGTACTTTTATGACCTCACACCAGGCTTGTCATGATACCAAAAATTTAGGTCATGATACTATACCAAGTAGTATCATGATACTGTATTAATTCATAACTCAAATCTACGAAATAAAGCAAATTGTCAGAAGTACTATAATACTTATAATTAAATGATGAATATTTCACTTTCATTTAACGCTTTGTGTTTAGGCCACAGAAAATAGTGGCTTTGACGCACGTCAGTTCACCTGAAATATATAAATTTTTTTGTTTATTTTGTAGATAGCTGACCAACAAAAAATACATTAAACTTAAGATACATATGATGCCAAACGAAATTCAATACAAGATTTTTTTTTCAACAAAATAAGAAGTGAAAAATTATTGTTTGCTTAGTGTTTTCTATTGCTATTTTTCGTTTTTTTTTTTTGAGTGAGAATTTAACGTAACTCCAAATTTCACTTTAGTTCTTTTTTAGAAATTGATACGTTCGTTATAGCTGAATCATATTCACAGGCACAGAAATTAACTGATACAGATGAGTGTTTGAAGCATCAGAAAACGGCACAAATTCTATAGCTTTGCTTCCTTAATGCAGACTATTAAAATAAAATTAAGAGGTCTATTGATTATTTGCCTGCGCAAATGTGTGAGCATTTTAGTGACGTTAATGACGGTACTACCATTTCAAAACTACAGAGGCACTGCCAGTGTTTTGGTGCCATTCAGTGCTGCCAAAGTACTGGTTAACCAGGCAACCCCTCCCTACACTATACCACACTTGATAATGCAGGCACATGTGTTCTCTGCTTCATATATAGGGCACTAGACAGTCCATTCCTTTTATTAGGTATAATGAGCAATTTGGCACACATAGACAGTGCCAGCGCATACATGCAACCAGACTTTTTTATTTTTTTATTTGACAAAAGCGAACCCTCAGGCTTGTTTGTTGTTATCACCTAGGCTACAGTTCCTTTCGTTTGTGTGAGGCCTGTAATAACGCGGGTAAATATATATTAGACTGCATATAACCATCTTCAGGAGAACAGGTGAAAGCAACACGCTGAAAGTGAAAACTGAAATCTTTAACGGATAAACCATTAATGCATGAAACAATCTCACGGGCCAGTAGTTTGAGACCCCCTTCTTTAGAGTGAATTTTACTTCTATATAGGATGAAAGCGTGCTGTATAGATGGAGTCGAGGGAACTTTTCCTACATCGTGATTGAATGGCGTTATCAAAAGTGTCTTTCTGGAGAGAAGTCAGCGGGAACTAGGCTGTCTGTCTCACTTTGTTCGGCAGGGAAGGCAGTCTTGTCCCCAGGGAGTGATTCTATTTCACACAGAGAGGCTTACGTCTTTCAAGCATACCATTGTCTCGTCTAATCCCACAGTCCTGCCCTGCTGCAATGCCATCCATTCAGTCAGCAGCATATCAGCCGCTCTCTCTCTCTCTCTCTCTTTTCGCTTCCTCGGTTTTTGCTCTTTCTCAGTGGTCTGCATGTTGCTGCATGGACCACCAACATGTTGCTGCTGTTTTCTAGAGACATTCGGGAGAAGCAGGATAACATGGGGACTTGACCCTTCTGTTGACTTTTAGGGCAAAAATGAGTCAGGCACCATTTTAGCAGCAACAAAAATAACCTAAACAATGTTATCTTAAAGTTTGGTGACTCTAAAATTACCCCAAAATTTAAGAAAATTTATCATACAGTGGGGGGAAATAAGTATTGTACACATACTATTTTTTTTTCTTGGGAATACTATTTCTAAAGGAGTATTGTATTAAAGTCAGGTGAATTGGATTCTACAGCTTGATTTTCTTTCTCTGAAAGCATTTGGGAGTCTCCTTGGCTGTGTTTTGGATCACTGTCTTGTTGAAATGTCCTCCTGGTTTCATCTTCATCCTCCTGCTAATGTAGATGTTGGACTGAAGCAGCTGATGTTCATTTACACTGGAAGGGCATAGAGTTGCTAAAGAACTACTGAGAGATTTCAGCTGCTGTCTGGGCTTTCACTGCCTTTCTACACCTTCCTTTCTTTATGTGTTCAATACTTTTTAAGTAAAAATCTGTTGCTTTAACTTTTAGAAATACTGTCTTGTTAAACTTTTCACACTTATGCAGGAACTTTAAGCATTATAAATTAGTCAAACATGAGCGTTGCTTTCTGACTAAATATAAAATAATATAAAATATATAATAAATAATATATAATTATAATAAATATAAAATATAAAATACCTCATTTTGATGAGGGAAAACAGACATTTACAGAGTTTGTGATGAAGATGAGGTCATTTTTCTCATGGAATTATATATTTGTTCATTTAGGATTAAAATTAAATGTAGCTAAAATGTGGAAACCCTTTCTGTCTTATGTTGAAACTCTCCAGCTGAATTTAGACTGATCACCCCTGCCAACCCCTCATAATAATAATAATATTAATTTATAACAGTTTTGTTACCCTTTATTGCTTTGCATTTTAACATTGGGATTGTTGTATAGGCATCTGTCCCTCAATTTATTTATCTACATTTTATTTATTTATTTATTTATTTATTTATTTATTTATTTATTTATTTATTTAAACACTTTTAGTGTTTTTGATGTATCTAGGTGTGTACCTACAGGTAAGAAGTTTTTGCTTTTCATCTCTGTTCTTAAAATTTTTTTGTTTTGGTTTGTTAAATGTTAATGAATGTTTAAT